GGGGTCCCTTATTTTGGGGTCCTTATAATAAGGATCCTACCGTTTAGGGTACTATATTAGGGTCCCCTATTTTCGGAAACCCCCATATTGGTAACTCTTGAAGCTTCCCAAGGATAGTTTGGGCATGCGTGCCCTGCGGTGGAGACAGGTCTTACTTACACCACGCTCGGGTTTAGGATTAGGGGTTCCAGTTAGGATCGTTTTGAACCCAGAGACTCCAATACCCCTTAATTAAGGAATATACCTTAAATTATATTAGGATCCCTACTATAATTTAAGGTATATTCCTTAATTAGGGGGTATTGGAGTCTCTGGGAAGTGCAGTAGCTAGGGTTTAGGGTTTACCCGTTCAGGGCTTAGGTTTAGTGCGTCAGGCTCGGGATTTGGCGTTGCTTTTTCGCTGTGTCTCGCTCATGACAAGCCTGGCAATAGCGTCTGATAGTCCTGGTGAGCCCTGTTCCAAAACGAGCGAGCCCCTAAACGCTGAACTCAGAGACTCCAATACCCCTTAATGAAGGAATATACCTTAAATCATATTAGGGATCCTACTATAATTTAAGGTATATTCCTTAATTAAGGGGTATTGGAGTCGTCTCTGGGAACGCTGAACCTGAAGTTCATGTAAGTGCGCCGGCCAGCAGATGGCGAAGGTGGCCGATCTGCTCCTGGGGAACTTGAGGCCCAACTATGTGGTTTGAGCTTTCGGGATTCCTGTCCCTTAATTAAGGAATATACCTTAAATTATAGTAGGATCCCTAATGTGATTTAAGGCATTCCTTGATCAAGGGGTATTGGAGTCTCTGGGTTCGGCGCCGGGAAGTTGAGGAGTATGCGAGTTTACGAAGGATTGGGGGGGTTATGTAAGGTTTAAAAGCAAAGTTCAAAATGCAGACAGGATATGACTGGGACCTTTAAGCATGAGTCCAACTCGTGATTGAGGCTCCTGCGCGGAGCCCTACAAAGACGAGTGTCGCTTGTGATGTAGGGCCCAAATAATTACTAATACTATTTTTTGGGGGGGTTCTTATTATTCTGATTATAGTATATTGCGCCCCCAAAACCCCATTATAAATATTAAGGCCCCTATATTACCTTAACTGTTTTCAAGCCCACTGAGGCCCTCGTTGCTTGCACCCCCCGGCGCCGAGGCCTGGAACATTTGGTTAGGCCGCACGAGGTTGTGGCACTCGTCCATGATGATCACCTACGTCGGCATCGTCAACACAAAGCTCAAACCCTAAACCCTAAACCCTAAACCCTATAAACCCTAAACCCTAAACCCTAAACCCTAAACCCCTAAACCCTAAACCCTAAACCGCCTAAACCCATCATCAATAGACAGCCCAAAGCTCCAAATATTGACAGCTCTAAGCAGATCCCAACCTCGAGAGACTCCAAAAGGCTGAGCACTCTTCAAAGCAAAAATGCTCTAAGGTTTAGGGTTTAGGGTTTAGGGTTTAGGGTTTAGGGTTTAGGGACGTATCTGTAGGGCCGTAGGCCTCCTCGATCTCAAGGGCCCGACAACATAGCTCTAAAGGGTATGCGAATTTCAGGGCATCGGTTCTAGGGTTTAGGGCAGCTCGGGGCTGGGAGAAGCCTAAACCCTAAACCCCTAAACCCCAAACCTCTAAACTCCTAAACTCCTAAACCCCAAAACCCTAAGACCCTAAACCCTAAACCCCTAAGACCCTAAACTCTAAACAAGTGTAGTGCTCAGACTCGGACTTTGGGTGGGAGTCGGTGCTGGGTGGTACAGCCTTCATGTATTCGGCGTCTAGAGGCATGGCAAGAAGAGGCCGCTTCTTAGGGGCAGGAAGTTTCGACAAACAGCTGCCTTAACGCCGTGCCAATATTCCAAAGTGCAAGCATACAAAGCGCAAAATCTATCTACTGATTCGAGGAACATGCACCCTGCTCTAGACTCCGGAAGAGCATGAAGAAGGCAAAACCGAGCTCAAGCGCCAAAAGAAGCCGCTACTGCTTCTCTGCCTTGCCAGAGTAGGGGTTCAACCTGGACGCATTCGGAGCAACGTTTTCGGGTTTAGGGTTTAGGGTTTTTTGAGGGTTGAGGGTTTAGGGTTTTTTGCGGGTTTAGGGTTTTCTGAGGGTTTAGGGTTTNNGGTTTAGGGTTTAGGGTTCCGGAAGTCAGACCTCAAAGTCTTTGCCAAAAGATCTCACCGTAAGCCTACACGACAAGTCTTAGCTGCCAAACCTTAGGCTCCAAGACGCCGTGCCCCATACTCAAAATGAGAAGCCTAGTCGATGGGTTTAGGGTTTGGGGTTTAGGGTTGGGGCTTTGCATCCGCAAGACAACTCTAAACTCCTGGCCCCCAACATCTCCCAACGTCTTGACACTCGAAACCCTAAGCCCTCAGCGCCAACCGCAAGACAACCCTAAACCCTAAACC